AGCAGCTTCATTTATATACCGCTTCATATCGCACTATGGGATGTCTCAGCGGTTTACAACTGTAAGCTCATTGCCCCCCAACAGTTGGGTACTCATTTTAGCGACCTCGGAAGGATGCAGGCCTGAGTCTAGGCTGAGCCCTGGCTAGTGTTGAACTCGCAACCTTGTGGTCTGTGAGTGGCTGCAGTACAAGCATTTAACCACTGCGCCACCAGGGCAACCCTAAGATGAACCTATAATGGGGTTTTCTTGGAAAGTGTCTTCAGAGGGAGTTGGCCATTGTCATCCTCAGAGGCCAAGAGAGCGTGACTTGGCCGAGGTCACCCAGTGAGTTTCCATGACTGAATTGGGGATTTGAACCCTGGTCTCCAGAGTCATAGTCCAACACTCAAACCACTACACCATGCTATACAGTAGCACAAATGTTAAATAAACAAACTGGTGTTCTTTGCATAAGTACTCATCCCCTTTGCGGTGCACATCTAAATAAACTCTGTTACAAACTAATGCTTCTGAAGTCACGGAAGTACAGTTGCTCCTCAGTTTTCACAGACTTGAAATCCGCGTCCCTCAGATTTCATTCGCAGGTGGCAAACAGAGGGGGATAAAATGGGGGCACCCCTCCATTCAAGCCTATGGAGCTTGAATATTTGCAGTTTTCCGTTTTCATGAGGGGGGTCCAGAACGGGTCCCTCGCAAAAACATAGGGGCGACTGTAGTTGAATGGAGTCCTTTATGCAGTTTCAGATTAAGGATACCTATTTCTGAAGGCCCCAGAGTTTGTTGGAGAGCATTTCTAAACAAACTGGAAAGCACTTGGGATTGCTTCCAAAAGTGCTTCTACTGAGTATTGACTCAGTGGGTGAATTCCTAACTCAGTTAACGTGTTCACTTGCGTAATATTTGTGTTACAATACAATTATTTTACACCTTCCTAGTGCAGTATACTGTATATGTCAAGTGGTAATAATGCCAGCATCCACTCGACATTCTTACGTAGTGCTAACTTCTCTCCTTCCACTGTTACTTGCTTATTTTCCAATCTTTTCACATCCAGTGGTCTCTGTATTCATCTGTTGCTGACACTATCACTGCTGTTGCTGTGACTGAGTTGTTTAATTTTTCCCTGCTCCATGATCTTGGTCTAGTAGGTGCCCTTTAGCAGCTGGAGTTGCTATAAGTGGGGAGAAAAATTCTAGCTTGATGCTAAGAGGAAAAAAATAATATGCCTCTGCTCTGAGCATTCCCTTTCCCCAGTTTGAGCATTTCTCTGTGACAGCCGCAAGAGGATGGCAGCTGGTAGGAGTGTTATAATTTTAGGTGCCAGGTAAAAGCAATTTAATTTAACCAGACATTTTAATACATTACACATTTAACTGTGGCAGTGTTGGTCTGTTCTATTCTTAAAGTTACTTGCTTGTGTTTCTCTGTTTTTTGCACTGTATACTGCCTTCATACTGATAATGAAAATAGTTTAAATAAGCAATCCATAGCATAGTCCATGACATAGTCCAGATGAAGAAGAAAAGGACCCACAATGGGATTATGCTGGCCAAGACTATGGATAACATCAGCAACAGGCCTGAAAAAAAACAGTTCTCCTACCGTGCTGTGATAGATTTGGTACGATTTTCTCTTCCTTGGGGAAAGCAACAGCAGCAGCAGCAGTATGTAAAACCTTGTGAAAGCGTTTTACAGAATGTCCTACTTTACCAAACAAAAGACTTATTTTTCAAAACAATTTTATTGAATGTCATAATTTAATAACTAAAGGATCCCCTACCCCACAATATGCCTCTCAGATGTTTGGGGCCAAAATGCCTTTCTACTGTTTACAGCATTCTTGCTTAATACATTTCAGTCTGTTATAACAGTTTGCTATTATCTCTTTCAGCAGAGTCATTCCAGTGTCTTTTCACTTGATTTGTTCCACTGAATAAACAGGGAATTTGGTTTTACCTGTTTTTATGCAACCTTAATACCACAGCATGCTTGACGTAGGGTAATTGTTAAGCTCAGTTGTCATGCTTCACTTGCATCCAACACTTTAAGGTAATGCAAATTAAAATTGCTAATAAGTAGAACTAGGAAAATTTGAAATGGTTTGTATATTGTCTGTAGTAACTGAATTGAATGTGGAATCCCTCTAACCACCAGAGTTACATGGTCCATGCCTATGTATTCCCCTCCCCTTGAAAGTGCTTGCTTTTCCTCTAATGTGTTTTGTGTATGGCTGTTGACTATCAGTCTGCTCTTTTAATGGCTCAGCAGCTTTATCATTTGAGGCCAACAGTCCTGAGTTGTATTTTGAAAATGTGTTTTTTTTATGTGATATTTTCCTGGCCAAGCATTCAAAAAGGCCAGAAACAGCACTTTATTAGAGTAGAGGGGGATCAGTGCTTCTTTTAGGTTATGCCAGGACAGTGGTCCTCAACCTTTTTCAAGCTATCGCCCTCTTTCCTCTTGGGTGATAACCCTAGTGCCCTGCATGCTTATTTCTTAGTATTGGGTCCACTGTTTTACTGGGGGGGGGGGGGGGGGGGGGGAGAAAGTATCCTAAGCAAGGGAAGCAGCTGTTTTTGGATAGTTTTGCAAATGAAGTAAACGAAAGCCTGCTTGCCATGCAACGCCATTGGGTGACTCTGGGCAAGTCACACTCTCCCAGCCACAGGGGAAGGCAATGGCAAACCCCCTCTGAAGAAACCTTTTCAAGAAAACCCCTTGATAGGTTCTCCTTAGGGTCATCATGAGTCAAAACAACTTGAAGGCACACAACAACAATTGATGCTAGCCAGCCCAAGTTTCAAAGGAAGCCTTGGAGCCCCAAAGTTGGGTGAAGAAAGGTGAGGCTGGGGGGTGGCTTTGGAAAGTGAAAGAGGGAGGCCCCTCTATGGAAGGAACAATGATGACTGAATGGGGTGCCTGGCAAAGAGGGCGGGTGGGTAGGCAAGCTCAGCAGGATTTCCATTTGAGGAAGGAAGGGCTGCGCAGCTGCCTGGGCAACCCATGCCAAGAAATGTCCCTGCAGCTGCCCTCCTCCTCCACCACCACCTCTAGGCTTCTCATGGCAAAGGGAGGGAGAGGGGAATAAAAGGGGGAGGGGAAGGAACAGAAAACCCCAGAAGTTGCCAGAGCATTGACAGTATCCAACGCAAGGGGGAATGAAAGAAGAGCTAGCCCACTTCCTTTCACTTCTGCTTTGGCTAGCTGGCTTGAGCTAGCTAGCCAAGGCAAATGGAAAGAAGAACATGCACCTGCTCCCTCCCTTTCCTTTTGCTTTGGCTAGATGGCTTGAGCTATCTAGTCTAGGCAAAAAGGGAAAGAAGAGCGCGCACCTGTCTCCCCTCCCTTCTCTTCCCTTCCGCCTTGGAACCAGCCGGTGTCTTTCTTACTTGAAGAAACTTTCCTCCTTGGGCTCCTTGCAGGGGGAAGCTGAACAGTTTCTGAGAAAAAGTGGGTATGGCAGGTATTTCAGTGTCCAAAGAGGGAAGGGAGTAGGGGAAGGACAGGGGCCGTTTGTTCTGTTCCACGGTGAGGCAAAGATGGAGGAGCCAGGCTAGGTCTCTTGCCTCTCAGCCTGGACAGATACAACTTGTTTCCCATGCAGCTCTCCATTCGGCCTACCCCTGTCCTGTCCCAGAATGGTGTACAAAAGAAGTTTCTAGCACAGAACCTCAGATGCAAGTCTATGAAAGCTTATGCTACAACTTTTTTCACACAGTTAGTCTCAAAGGTGCTACAAGATCCCTTTGCATACTGATATTCCAGTGTAACACAACTTATGGTTGAATCTGCACTGCAGAATTAATGCACTTTGACATCGTTTTAACTGCCATGACTCAATACTATGGAATTCTGGGGTTTAAAGCTTGTTGTCACACCAGAGCTCCCTGAGAGAGGCCACATAGTTCACAAAACTACAAATCCCAGATTTCCATAGAATTGAGCCATGGCAGTTAAAGCAGTGTTGAACTGCATTTGTTCTGTAATGCAAATTAAACCTATGTCTCTGAATTCTAGCCACTTGGA